AGAATAGAAGCAATGCTTGACTAGAAAGTTCTTAGCTATCATATTAAAAGCCTTTGATGTCATATTCTTTATGGGATAATTTTGATGGTGATTGACAAAAATGTTATAAATATTGTAATCAGGTTTATTGTTTTTAGTAATACATATTCTAGAAAAGCTATTAACTATATTGTCTTTAAATCTAGTGTTATGCTGATGTATATCTGCATGAGTAGAAACTTGATCACGACTCGAGTGAATCCACGATAAAACCTGAAGTATATATATGCACGGCAAAGGTAGAATATTGTGTTTTTTAAATATAGACTGACAGTGATCTGAGTAGTGTGCACCGTCAATGATTCTTAGTGCTGCCTTCTGATAGCTAAATACTTTCTGTATGGAGCTGGATTTGCCCCAGAGCATTATACCATAACTAATATTACTGTGGACTAGAGCATAGTATACTGACCTCATAGAATGCGGATCTAGGTAAGAATACAACTGTCTCATGACGTAAATTTGTGTTGCTAGTTTAGAACATAGGCTGGCTATATGTGAGGCCCAAGTGAGACACGTGTCTAGCGTAAAACCCAGTGTTTTGACAGGCTCCGATTTTTTTGCCAGTTTGTCTGAGCTAAATATAATTCGGCTTGTTTTAGCTGCATTTAGCATTAGCTTGTTCGAACTAAACCAGCGTTTTGCTAGTATTATATCATCACTGGTAGATGTTAAATTACCCCTTGTGAGAAGAGTTGTATCATCCGCAAATAAAATGCATTTACGTGGCTCAATAGATCTTGGTAAGTCGTTGATGTAGAGCAAAAAGAGAACCGGGCTCAATACAGAACCCTGTGGAACACCACTTACCACCGGAAGCATGTTAGAAACGTCATCATTGTGAACCACGTATTGCATTCTATCAGTTAAGTATGATCTGAATATCTCAAGACTGTTTCCCCTTATCCCATAGAATTCTAATTTGTTTATCAAAAGCTCTATATTGACGCAGTCGAATGCCTTCGACAGGTCGCACATGGTTGCACATGAACTGTAACCCTGATCAAGATTATCAACCACGCATTCGATTAGAGAAATCATCGCTTTGACCGTCGATTTGCCCTTTCTAAATCCGTATTGTGAAGGTGATAGGATTTCTTTACCTTCAATGTAAGAGAGCAATTTATTTTTTAAAATTTTTTCAAATAGTTTTGAGATGACCGGTACGATAGCAATAGGCCGAAAATTATCAGGACATTCAGCGTCACCTTTTTTGTGTAGTGGTATCAATCTAGATATTTTTAATTGCGACGGAAACTTACCCTCTGCTAAACATCTATTAAAAAGTAGTGTTAATGGTACTACCAACGGTTCCATCGCGCATTTTATCATTTTGCTACTTAGGCCATAGTGGTCTAGGCTGGCTGAATTTTTCATCTCACGCACTGCCTCACGTACATCTTCTTGTAGTATAGATGACATAAAAAATGAACCTGATGGCTTAGGTTGGAGATTTAAGTAATCAAGAGGATGTACGTCAGGAGTTTCTATGTGGATAGAAATGGTATCTGCAACAGTAGCAAAAAAGTTATTAAATTCTGCTGAAGAGAGAGATGAAGACACGTTATTATTTTTATTGGAATTGGAATTCCGAGATGAATTTACCAGATGCCATATTGTTTTAGTTTTATTATCAGAAGATTCAATTTTCTCGGCGTAAGCACATCTCTTAGCAATTTTCAGGGCTGCACGGTATTGTTTACGTTTTTCCGTAAAGTCGAACCAATCTGTGTCCAATTTATATTTATTGAAACGCAATTTTAGTTTAAACATCTCGCTTCGCAATTTTTTTAGATCCGCATTGTACCATTTTAATTTCGACGAGCGCTGGCTGATATTAATAATAATAATAATAATAATAATAATAATAATAATAATAATAATAATAATAATAATAATAATAATAATAATAATAATAATAATAATAATAATAATAATAATAATAATAATAATAATAATAATAATAATAATAATAAGAAATATCTAGGATGTGGAACATCAAAACCCAGATTATACCTGTTGTCATTGGCGCTACCGGTGCAATTACTAATAGACTAGAGCGTAATTTGAATAAAATTAGGGGAAACCATAATATTATACAGCTCCAAACCAATGCAATACTAGGAAGCGCACACATCATTCGCAGAGTGTTAGGATAGGTGCGACCCAAGGAATACGGTGTATTTTCGGTCCAAACCTAATAAAAAAAACCAGTGTACCCTTACAACATAAACACTGTGAAACTAAACAATAATAATAATAATAATAATAATAATAATAATAATAATAATAATAATAATAAATAATAATAATAATAATAATAATAATAATAATAATAATAATAATAATAATAATAATAATAATAATAATAATAATAATAATAATAATAATAATAATAATAATAATAATAATAATAATAATAATAATAATAATAATAATAATAATAATAATAATAATAATAATAATAATAATAATAATAATAATAATAATAATAATAATAATAATAATAATAATAATAATAATAATAATAATAATAATAATAATAATAATAATAATAATAATAATAATAATAATAATAATAATAATAATAATAATAATAATAATAATAATAATAATAATAATAATAATAATAATAATAATAATAATAATAATAATAATAATAATAATAATAATAATAATAATAATAATAATAATAATAATAATAATAATAATAATAATAATAATAATAATAATAATAATAATAATAATAATAATAATAATAATAATAATAATAATAATAATAATAATAATAATAATAATAATAATAATAATAATAATAATAATAATAATAATAATAATAATAATAATAATAATAATAATAATAATAATAATAATAATAATAATAATAATAATAATAATAATAATAATAATAATAATAATAATAATAATAATAATAATAATAATAATAATAATAATAATAATAATAATAATAATAATAATAATAATAATAATATTAATAATAATAATAATAATAATAATAATAATAATAAAACTAGTGAATAATTATAATTCTTGTGAGTGGCTGTTTGCTGAACAGGGTGAGTTTTTCTCACTGAGTAATTATGTTTTATCAATTAGTTTTGTTTTAATTTATAATCAAGTTATTTTGCAAATTATATTTCCCAATTATTATCCATCAATCTTTTATAGTTAATTTGTCAATTCTGACGTAAAGATATTTTGTCAAGTATTGAGAAAACCTTATATCCTAAATTAACGGGGTTATATTAAATAATTAAAACTTATTTGAATTTGACTATTTACTTATATTTTGTTTTCCTCTACGAGATGTAATCAAAAGTAAAGTGAGTTAGATTGTCTGTTCTGGCGTAGTACATTGCGGTCAGTGTTTGCGTTTATTTAGGGATTATTCCCGGAGTCGTCGCACCATGGTTGGTGCGGGCTAGTGACATTGCGGTCAGTGTGCTAGTAATGGCTTTTTATATATCGATCGATGTTTGGGCATTGCGGTCAGTGCCTACAGAATTGAGAATATAACTTTTTGTCAATTATGGAAAATTTAAAGTTGTGTCAATTATATTTTTTTTATAATCAATATTTTGACATATTTATCATGTATAATTTTCTTGTTAATTAAAAGGATAATAAGTATTTGTTTATGGATATCACCTTTTCATGACTTTCTTTATTATAAAGCTACCTTTGGTAAACTTGATTGATCATACTTGTTTTACTTTTATTTCAGGTACGCCATCTCATACGTGCATTAATTAAATATTGTATATTTTATTTTACTATTATTTTATTTACGTTTTATTTTTTTCATTTAATACTTATTTCTAAATAATTTTATTTTGTTCTAAATTTTATCTTTCAATTTAAAGTTATTAAATCGTTTATTAATTTCTAGTTTTTCCTGACATTGATTAAATAACTAAATATTACCGCCCAAATTTATAATAGATATTTTTAAATTACAAATATTGTCCTATAGTATTCCTATACGATTTGCGGAAAAGTTGTTTTTCTGTCTTGTTCTAGAAATTTTCCGACCTATTGTCGTATCGCTTTGTTAGATCTTATATACTAATTGAAATTTATGATTAAATTGTATTATTAATATTATTACACGCAATCAGTAGTGGTTTTAACAAAACAAAAATATACAAACTCTGTAGTCTAACCAAACCTTCAACATGTTCGATACCAGTATCCAATTATTTATGAACTCAATTGAAGACAAATTTATACTAAAATGTTTTTACAAGGTTGGTGCAATAGTATGTATATTTCCTTGGAACAGACAAGGTGGAAAAAATGTATTTCAACTAATTACTGCAATTATATTATTTTCTACGGCATGCGCTGCAACGTATTTTCTTGGAAAAAGCTATTTATCCTACGGTACTGAACTTGTAATATTTTTATCACTAGATGCCGGAATGAATTTGATGTTTCCATTCGTTAGTATTTGTGATCTAATTAAAGAAAGAAAAACCTTTTGGGAATTATTGTTTTACTTGGACAATATTGTAAACTGTACTCTATTTATTTCAAAGATAAAAATATTATGTTATGCAGCTTTATCGTTATTACTCCTAAGTTTTGCTTTATTTACAAATGTGCATAGTTGGATGCGTTTATCTTACGTGGATATTTTTATGGGCTGTTACTGGTTAAAAATAAATATACAAATTTATATCATGGCTGGTTTTTTAATGGAATTTTCTCTGCTTCTGAAAAAGAGAGAAGATATTATTTGTGAGAGGCTCCAGATATTCTGCGAACAGCCGTTCCTCACAAAACGTGAAATCATGTGTAAAATGAAGATGTTTAAAAATACCTACAAATATTTTGTTTTGGCTGTTCTGAGTTTAAATGCTGCTTTTGGCAAGAAAATTTTGGTATTAATATTTCTCCTTTATGCTACATTATTGGGAAGTGTCGATTATTTTTTTAATATGTATAATACCCAAACTGAGTTTGTAATCGAAAATGTTTGGTATTTTGTTTTGGTAGTGGTAAGTTTTTCATAATATTTAATCTATAGCAATTTATACTTGAGATAAAAAAATGAAATATATATAAGCTGCCGGCGCCGTTTAACATAGGCTTTGTTTGAAGCCAGTATCTATGGATTTTTGACAGCTGTGATTTCCAGGGGCGTATCAAATAGTTTTTTCATCACAATCTAAATTATTGTTTGGTTAGTATTTTGTCAATGAATAATTTAAATAAAAGTACAACTCAAACATAAAATGTTAATTTACAAAAAATAGGTTTTGTTATTTTTTCTTTAAATTAATAAACGATATTTATAATATTGTCTGGCCGATAGCAGCATTGTATCCAGCAATGTTGTTGTTGCTACCGTAGCAAAGCTTTTCAAGCAAAACGGTACAGCCAGCGAACTTGAGTTCACGAGTAACACCAGTGACCCATACCGGGCCTTATATCGAGCCGGTAGCCAATGCAATACCGTAACTCGTCGAAGTGCCCTGGGGTAACATCCCAGGGTACAGGGAACTCGCATTGTTACGACTAGCAATGTAGAGCACGCTCCTGACAATCCACCCTTCTCGGATGAGGGTGATGGGCAAGATAGAGAAGCATCAGAATGGATGCCCGATAACGACCCCGGTAATGGAAATTGACGCTTTCGATGGACTAATGAACTCAGGGACGACTTGCTGGACGCATACGAAGATAGCGAGCCTGGTTGAAGAGGTTACATAGCAAGAATGCATGGATTGTGGCACGAAAAATACCCAGAGCTTAATCACAATTCTAAACAACATCTTAGAGACCATGTAGCTTATCTTCGCAGATCCAAAAAATTATGCAAAAGTACTGACTAACAAGAATTAACATTAAGTGTAATATCAAACCTCTAGACTACTTAATGACCTACAGACTGTAGAAAATTTCTGGAACAACATCTACGAAAGCACGACACCCATCAAGAAGAACACATCATCTCTAATCAGGTTCAGATCCTATTATTCCCGATTTCAACAATACCACTGTAATGATAATCCCCAAATAACTCAAGAAGAGATTAGAAAGGCACTTAAAGGTACTACACATTTTTCAGCACCAGGCATCGATGGCATTAACAACTTTTGGTGGAAGAAATTACCCATCCGCATCTTGCCAGAATATTCAACTCTTGGCTCAATGCAATCGAACCAATTCCTGAGTAGTTAGTTAAAGGGAGAACAACATTTATACCGAAAAAAAGCAACCGAGCTGAGCCAAAGAATTACAGGCCGATCACCTGTCTTAATTCCTGTTATAAGATATTTACCCGTATCTTGTATTATATGCTCTTGAGCTCAGTAAAAATTAATAAAAATTAATAAAAATTAATAAAAATTAATAAAAATTAATAACAATTAATAAAAATTAATAAAAATTAATAAAAATTAATAAAAATTAATAAAAATTAATAAAAATTAATAAAAATTAATAAAAATTAATAAAAATTAATAAAAATTAATAAAAATTAATAAAAATTAATAAAAATTAATAAAAATTAATAAAAATTAATAAAAATTAATAAAAATTAATAAAAATTAATAAAAATTAATAAAAATTAATAAAAATTAATAAAAATTAATAAAAATTAATAAAAATTAATAAAAATTAATAAAAATTAATAAAAATTAATAAAAATTAATAAAAATTAATAAAAATTAATAAAAATTAATAAAAATTAATAAAAATTAATAAAAATTAATAAAAATTAATAAAAATTAATAAAAATTAATAAACATGAATAAAAATTAATACAATTGAATAAAAAATTAATAAATATGAATAAATATAAAAAAATGAATGAAAATCAATAAAAAATTAATAAAAAAGGAAGTCATGTATTTTTTTATATTAATAACACGACAATATTCGAGCAAAGTCGCGAGCAAAGCCGCGGGCAATAGCTAGTAATTACATATATTATTGTAGTTATTAAAATAACATGAATAGGTAATTAAAAAATTACAAAATGTTCCCGTACTAATACTTAGAATATTCAAATTAATTAGACATTAATTAGACATAGACAAAAAAACATTTTCATTATTTATAGTTTTTGTTCAAATACTCACTTAGTTTCAGATGTAGAAGGTTTAGAATGTGGGATAGTTTCCAGTTGAGGAACAGCTTCAGGATGTGAGTAAGATAAGGGCATTACTCCTTTCATTAAAAACATTTTTCCTCCTGGAGACTTAGCAAAGGCAGAATCCTCAAAATGTTTTGAACAAATTCTACTGAATTCACTCACTTCATCCTCACGTATACCCAAGCTTTTCATCCACATATATCTATTTTGACAATCCTAAACCTAAATAGGTATAAATAGTGTTTTCTTATTCATACAGGTAGGTAGGATTTCATGTAATACAGAATGCAACATAATATACTATAAAGTAACTGGTGTTCTAACAATATATTTTGTTATTAAAATAAAGCAATACTAAGATTTTATAACTAAAGTGAATGCCACTAGAGCCTTCTTAAATATACAGTGTGCATAACAATACAACTTTACTTTACAGAAAGCCTATTAATAAATTAATCACAGGCACAATAAAATAATTCGAAATTCAACGTTGAATGTTATTTTAAACTTTAAAATAAATTGTTGTTTAAAATTTATTTTGAATTATGATACCCCTCAAAAAAAGTGTGATGCAACGGTAATGGTTATCGAACTGAACTTAAGATACTTTCTCGAGCACACAATTCACTTCACTGGCATTTTAAAGCAATTAAATGCACCAAAATAACTTAAACCACAAAAATTTTTCAATTAAAGTACGAAATAAACTCAAAATGAACCACAAAATTACCATAAAATAACTAACCTTACTAACGTATTCCTGTCAATTTGTTGCTAACCAATCAGGTGTGTAACCAAAATAGCGAATATCCAATCAAGTCGTGTAACCACTGCTACATAGTGAGGGAAGATGCTGGTTACAAATATTGCGTGATGGGGCTGTATCTATTATTTATTTATTTATTTATAATAATAATAATAATAATAATAATAAAGGTCTTTATTGTTTTCATTACAGCATTTTACAAAATTAATATTACTAATAGTTTATTAAAGAAAACAAAAGGCGAAGTTCACTTTCCAAAGTTTAAAAAAAACACTTGGAAAATGTTCTTCCACTTAACCCAATGATGGTGTTTATATACATATGTAAATACGAGTAGGTATATGAACTAAATCTAAACATATTGAAAAATCAAAATAAAAACAAAAAACTATATCTTTATATTTTTATATTTTAGAGGGGACAGGTAGAACAATTACGATTTAAGTGCATTGCTTGCTAAATAACAAGGTTTTGTATTTACATTTGAAAGTAAGAGGGTTAAGATTTTTAAATATAATAGGAACAGAATTATACAATTGAAAAATTTGATATGAAAACGAACGTCTAAATAGTTCGGATCTAAATTGAGGTGGTGATAGTAGACCTTTGAATCTTAAATTTAAGTTGTGAACATCTGTCCTAAAGGATATTTTTTTGTAAAGATAAATGGGGATTTTATACAAGACAATTTTGTGGTATAGCGTAGTTGCATGATGAATTCGTCGGTTTTCCATATTTAGCCAACCGATTTCTTCGAGTTTATGTGATATCCTTTGATATTTTCTTATACCGTATATGAGTCTTAAGCAACTGTTTTGTATTTTTTGTATTTTTTTTTGAAGGTTACTGTTAAATTTGGACCATAGACAGAATCAGCAAATTTAAAATTTGATAGTACAAGTGATTCACATAGTGATATTTTAATTCTTTTAGGCAACAACTTACGATTACCGTATATCAATTTTAATGAGCTATAAGCTCTCTGAATCAATTTAGTGATGTGTTTTTCAAACCTTAATTCAGAATCAATGAAAACTCCTAAGTTTTTAGCTTCATTTACTATGGTTAGTCTATCATTATTAATTTCAATACCTACCTAATTCTTCAATAATTTTGTCACGATTACGACTTGATCCAAACAACATCACATTAGATTTTGAAGCATTAATTAGTAAACAGTGCTCAGTTGCTGATCCAACAAAAGAATTCAAATCACGATTAATTATCTCACACGCATTTTGTGATAGATCTGGAGGGAAACTGTAATAAATCTGAGTGTCATCGGCATATAGGTGAATTTTACAGTTTTCTAAAGAATTAATAAGGTTCGAAGTGTATATTGAAAAAAGCAGAGGGCCTAAAATGGAACCTTGGGGTACGCCCGAGTAAAGATTTAAAGATTCTGATTTATGTTCATCGATTTTAACACATTGTTTGCGATTTTCCAAAAAATCTTTAATAAATAATATAGCGTTGTCAGCAAAACCTGAGGTAAATCCTGTCAATTGACAATTCTATCATTTCGAAGCAACCGCATGGTCAATCAATAATACAAAAGAAAAACTTAAAAAAAAAACAACCAAATAAAATCTTTTCTATCCGGACCTCTATGAGGGCTCGTAAGAGAAAAAAAAAAGAGGGTAATAATACACATACACTTAAACGGACAATAAGAACATCACACCAATGGACATGACAAGGATAAAGGAAATAAATACAATATAATATAAAAAATTGGATTTTGGAAAAATCCGCCAATAGTCGAACGGGCTATTTTTTTTTATTTTTTTTTAAACGATTTTAGACCTTCTAAAACACATTTAAAAATACTTTATTTGCCCTGCAAACGCTATAAAATATTTTTTTCTTACCTTAAAACTATTAAAATGTGTCCTCCAATTTCGATGTTGAAAAAATTTAAACTACATCATTTTGATTAATTTCTTGTTATAGAAACTGCTAAATAATAACACTAGACCATCCATAATGCAATAAACCATCCACATTTTTTTGTAAACAGTTTATTTTTTTAATTTAAGCTCATTTTTAGGTTCGTCGGAATTTTTTAATTTTCGTAAAGACTATGACAATTAAGATTTGCAGTCTGACATATGTCTAAAAGAAAT